CTTTTTTTCCAGTTACTTCAGGCTCTGTAACCCTCTGATTTTCCATACATGTTACAAATATGATGTTGATTAAGATACTGGAAACAGAAATCCTCTTGAAACAAGCATTTTTCTCAGATGAACTCCTTAAAACTGTGCAAGCAAAGTCACTACCCTGTGACATTTGGAAAGGAGAGCCATGAAGCCATCCTGCTGGGAATAAGGTCACTGGCTGGTTCTGCTCTGCTACCATTTAAATCTCAAAGGTCAAAAGAAAATGTTCCCAGTATTTTCTCCATGGAAAAAAATGACTGGGCATGAGCTGGGGAACGTTTTGGGGTTTTTTTTCCTCGTGGATTTTTAATGAAAAACAGATTCAATAGGATTTTTTCTTCAAAATGCAGCCAAAGGGTTAATAATAGTGTGAAGGAAAATAAGACTCCAGGTTTGGCTTAAATTTGGCACTTCTCCACTGATGTTGGGGGCTTGGGTGCTTGACCCCATCTAGTGGCACTCCAGGAACTAGGAGAAATCCCAGTCCATTGGGGGTTTTTCGAGATCCCCTCATCCTACATGAAGCACAGCCAGGTGTTGGACTGCTGGCTGAGAAGATCCTTTAGAAATAAATAAACCGAGCAGCACTTGTTTCCCCCAGGTGTGCATCCCTTGACGTGGGTGCTGGATAGGAAGAGGGTTACACTGGAATTTCATTTTTCCCTCAGCTCCAGGAGCAAGTGACCTCCTTGAAGCTGGTTTGTGCAGAGCCCTGGATCTGGAGAGTGGCTGTAATCCCACAGCCTTTGATCCTCCCCATCCCACAGCCCCTGCATGACCAGACCTCTGCCAGTCTGGGGTCCCATGGGTGGAGTCTGCTGGGCTGGACCACCTCAGGTCCCTCCTAAAGCTGGCCCAGCTTGGAGAGGTGTTCAGCCAACTCTGCCCATGGGAGGAGAGCCCAGCGCTGTGGTCAGCTTTGGTGAAGACAATTCTATGCCTGGCTGTGCCTCTGGAAATTCAGTTTACCTCAGTCCTCTCCTCTCCAGTCTGAATAGACCAAGTGACCCCAGCTGCTCCTCACACAGCTCCTCCTCAAGGCCTTGACCATCCTCAGGGCCCTCCTTGGGACACTTTCTAATAGTTCAATGACTTTTTATATTGTGGTGCCCAAATCTGTCCCCAGCACTTGAGGTGAGGCTACCCCAGCCCAGAGCAGAGCAGGACAATCCCATCCCTTGCCAGGCTGGTGATGCTGGGCCTGATGGCCCCAGGACTGGGATGTCCCTCCTGGCTGCCAAGGCACTGCTGATCCATATTCAAATTTCTATCAACCAGGACTCCCAGATTCCTTTCCAGGGTGCTGGTCTTCAGCATCTCACTCTCCAGTCTATGCACTCTCCAGGGTGCAGAATCCTTCATTTTCCCTTGTTGAAGTTCATACAGCTGGTGATTGCCCAGCCCTCAAATTTGTCAAGGTCTCTCTGGCCTTGGGGGAGCCAACAGCTCCTCCCAATTTAGTGTGATCACCAAACTTATTTAGTATTCATTAGAATCTTGTTGCCAGGTTGTTGATGAGGGTGCTGAAAAGCACAGGAGCCCTCCAGAACCCCACCAGTGACTGGACACCAGCCTGATGTCACGCCCTCCACTATGTTGTGTGTAGTAGATATAATTCACGCCGTTTCTAGTATGATAGATGTGATATTGAACATTTGTTAGAGTATACACGTTTGTATTAGGAGTCCCCCCAACCCTAGCGTGAAACATGGTGTATTTTAAAACCTGATTTACAAGTAAAAGGATGTGGCTCGGCCAGGAGATGGGCCATGGCTGGAGAGATAGGGGGTTGGGGAGGACCCCAGGCACTGATCATCACTAAACACCTGAGATGGATCTCATGGAAATCCTCGGGCAGATCCATGTGAATGCAGCGTTCCTGTAAACTTCATCAAGGGATTCAACAACTCTGGACTCTGAATTGTTCTTCCTCATCACCAAAAAAGAAAATCTTATTAACCTATAGACTCTGAATAGAAGAAAAGACTGACTGCCAAAATCATGGCCTCTGGTGGAATTTTCCCTATGAAAACCTCTTGTGCCAGGATGGAGGTGTGTGGGCATAGAGGAAAACCTCTGCTGAGGCTGATTTATTGTTGCACACCCAGGGTCAATTCCTGGGCTCGGCTCTGTTCTTTCCTTGTGGCTGGCTAGATAGAATTTGATTGCAAAATAAATATTTTATTTTTTCACTTTAAATTTGGCTGGACAAATTTTCATTTATAACAGCTACAACCCTTTGTGCCTGACCTGTGAGCCAGTTGCTCACCCACCACTCCACGCAGTTATCCAGCTGTGGGCTGGACATTTTGGGCTGGACATTTTGTCCAGAAGGATATTGTTAGAGACAGATACAGACTTCAGCCCTTCCTCTGCGACGTGCTGGCACTGGCATGGCCCAGCTTTCAAGCGGGCTGCTGGTGCCTCCTTTACTTTAATAACTCCTGGGAAGGATTTCACAGCCAGCCAGCTCTTCTTTCGTAAGCACCAGGTCCCTCTGCCCTCCCTGCTGTGCCCCTCTGGACCTGCCAACACACAAACCTACTTAGTTTCATTCCATTCTCCTGCTGCAGAGCACTTTGCAGGGCGCAGGGTCCCGGGGGAGGCAGCCCCTGGGCCGGTCTTGTCCCTTCCCTTACCCCGAGGTGAAACCACTTCTCCCAAAGTCAACAGCACAACCTACAGCAGCACCGGGGGAAATTCAGGATGAGGCCGTGGAAGCACAAGAATTGCCTCTGAACAGTGGCAAGCACAAGCGGTGCTGGGGTGGGATGCTCACGATGCCCAGCAGGGAGCTGAGCCCTTTCAAACTCAACAAGTGCTGTCAGAATGAAGCTCGTTCCTCGTTATTGCTTGACAAGAAGCTTAGCATTGACTTAATGAGTTCCCTTCAGAAGCCTCCACTGCTGCATTCCTTGGAAGATTAAGGGCTGCTGCTTTCTCCTCCACCCCTCCCTTCTGCTTTTTTCTAATGATGTTACTGAGAAGGCAGGAGAATCTGAGCTATGCCCTGCTTACCGCTGGGTGAACCCCATTTACACGGCATTTTTACTTCAGGAATCCTTCCAAACATTGCACGGGAGGGGTTTTACATCTGACAAAAGAAACAGTTAACATTCACCGAGATTAAACCCCCTTAATGCTGCCCGAGTTTGCATTTGCTTGCTCATGTGATTGTGCCTTTCCTGTGCCTTTAGTGTTAAAAGTACTGTCCAGAGGCTGGCTGGAAAAATGCTGTATTTTTTTTGTTAAATCCAGCATAGATGACAAACACCGTGCATTACCGACATCTATGAAAACACTCACCACCCTTTCGAAATGCCAAAACATTTTTTTTGTACTGAACTGTACAGGTACCAGGAGGCTCCATTCCATCCATGCTTTGGCGAGGCCACCAGGCAACCAATTTATTAAACCCTGGGAAAAAGAGAATCAGAGCCCTCAGCTCAGCAGAGCCGGCAGGGACAATCTGACGGCAGCAGAGGGACCATCATCACGACTGAGCTACGTCTGATGGATCAAGAGGAGCAGCTTTCTCGGGGGAATCCGGCACAGATCTGGATTCTCCAAGGTCCCGTTCCTGAGGACGCGACTTTGAGCGCTCGCCGTGGGTCTCCGGGGCAGTGGTGGAGGGGGCTGGAGGCGTGCTGGGTGGGACTGCGAGTACCAGCTCTCCATTCACTCGCACAGCAGAGCGGAGGCAAAGGACAGGGCATTTTCCCTTGCTGTTTCTTTACAGGATTAAAAACCAAAAAGGCGAGATTGGCTGAACCGAAAATTTAGAGCTGGAAGAGCAGAGTGATCTGAATTTTGCAAATCAGAGTTTGCTTGTTCTGGAGCCTCTCAGCAGCTCTGTTACAGAAAAGGCGCTTGGTTTGCGGCCAAAGAACTGCTGACAAAGAGAAGGGGGGAGAATAAAAAAAGAAAAAAGCTTGCAGAAAGGCGTCGGCATTGTTTGTGTTTAAAAGGGAGAGCGTGCGAGCTCTCGCTTTTAGCCAGGACGCGTTTCTCCCGCGGCTCTCCCTGCCTTGTGAACCGTGCTTAACCAAGCAGGGCGGGCGGCGGGGAAAGTTTTAATTATCGGCGTTTAGCAGCAGCTCCGGCACAGGCGGCCCCGCAGGCACCGCGCAAAGAGCCGGGGCGCCCGCCCCACCTCCGGCTCGGCCGGAGCGCGATGCCCGCGGGCAGAACCCCCGGGCAGGGGTCCCCAAGGGGCTCTGCAGGCTGTACCCTGCTCCCACTGCCTGGGGGGGAACCTCGCCCCGAGCTAAACTTTGTAAACACGGCGGAAAGCCAAGGCGGCTGCGGAGCCGAGGATCCCCACGCCGGCAGGGAGAGCTGGCAGCGATGAGTGTTGGCAGCGCCCAGCCCTCCCCTGTGCCAGCCTCCCCTTCCCCTTTAAATAAACATCCGTGTACAAAGCAGAAGGCACGCAGGATCCCCCCTCCCCTTCCCCTGGAAAAGGGATGCGGAGCCCGCTGGGTGCGCGTCTGGGATCGGCCGTGCAGCAAACACCGCCCGCAGCCGCCACTTGGTGAAAAACAGCAAAAGTACCTTTTGAATTCTTCCATCAATGTCCAAATAAATACATTTGGGCCGGTAAGTGGAGGAGGCAGATCCCATCTTGCTACAGCTGGGCTCTCACCGGACTTGTTTCCAGTGTCAATCAGAGCAGAAAATCAGGTTTATCCTACCCAGCCGAGCCACCGCTGCCTGACAGTTTGGTGTCCCCGCTCTTCTGTATCCCACTGTACTCTCATTCTGGGAAGGTCCCTCCTCTAACATGCATGCATTTTGCTGTGCCTCTGTCTCTCTCTGCCACCTCCTTTTAGTTTTGCTTCCCTCCGAATCCAGCTGCCTCGGACAGGGAGAGACACAGGCTCCAGATGCTGCCTGCAAGCCCCCTCTCCATTCCCATAGCAACAACCCCTCGTGGCTTTAAGGCTGAGAGTTACTGGGCATCCGCATTCGGGCTCTGACCCTGGGACTGACCAGCTCCTGCCATGCACAAGATCAGGCGGCATTTATCCCCCGGGGGGGCTGCGGAGGAGGAAGAACCCCCTTCATCGGGGTGGTGAGAGATATAATTTGATTTTACGCTGAAATAGGACCGTAATTATTAGTTAGTGCCTCTCCTGGTGAGCTGCTTGCAGTGACAGGCTCCCGTCTGGAAGTGCCCTGTGCTGAAGTGTCCTTTCACACACCCACTGCCAGCCAGGGCTTGGACCGTCTCAATCCAAACTCAGCAGCTCCATTTCCACATCCCTCCCGTTCTCGTTACAAGGACAGAAGGAAAAAACAGATTTCCCCCGCTGTAAGCACGAAGAAAGCACAAACCCCATGCTCTCGCCCACTGCCATCCGTGCCACCCCCGGAGTGAAGGAATTTTTTAGGGGAACGTGAAGTCTCCTGGTGAAGGCATCTCCCATGAGGAAGGCAGGAGGGAGCGCAGCCCCGGAATTCTCGGAGCAGATCCCGAATGCCATCTGCCGTGCCCAGCCCGTGGGCACAGTGGGCACTGAGCTCGGGGCAGCAGAGATGTGCACAGAGCCCATCCTGCCAGCACACAGCCTGTCCTGCCAGCATCAGCTCTCTCCCTCTCAGGGTTTTTCATAGAGGTGCACAGAGAGAAATGAAAGAGAAAACAATTTCTATTTCTGCTCCTTGTTTTTCCTATGTGGAATGTGTTTGGAGAATTGTTTACCTGGGCTGATTGCTTGGTTGGATTCTGGTGAGGATTGTTTGAGCCTGATGGCCAATCCAATCCTCCTGTGGCTGGACTCTCAGAGAGGGTCACGAGTTGTGTGAGAGTTAGAGTCAGAGAAAGTAGTATATAGTTTTAGTATCTTCCTTTATATAGTATATTAATGTATTTTAGCATAGTTATAATAAAGAAATCATTCATCCTTCTGAACTGAGTCAGACATCATCATTTCTTCCCATTGTGTTTGCCTGCATTTACAACAGGGCTGCAAAAGCTTTTCCTGGCCTCTTGTGCTGTGCGGGCTGGGAGAGCAGGGCTTGGGGCAGCGTGGTCAGTGATGCTCACCCTGCCCACCCCGAGCCCTCTGCAGCCAGAGGAGACAAAACTGGCCCCAGCAGAGGCCAAGGGGCTTGGCTGTGGCTTTTCCTTGGCTGTGGCTTTTCCTTGGCTGTGGTTTGCTGCCCCTGGAAATGCAGACAGGGCTCTGCTGCTCTGCAAAAGGGATTTGAGGGCTGAGTGGGTCCCAGAGCTGCCTGGGAGTCAGAGCCTGGCTGTCCTTCCAGGCTGAAGCCAGTGATGCTTCTAAAGCTCTCAGAGCCAGCAGCAAGGCAGTTGGTTCTTTTGGGAAGTGCAAGCCTTTGCTTCACATCCTCCCTCTGCCAGCTTGGAGCAGGCACTGGAGTCTCTCAGGAGAGAGCCCTGGCCACTGCAGGGGTATCCTGAGGGTTATCCTGTGGGCTGTCCCCTCAGCTGTGCCACAGCTTGTCCCATACCCACTACCCACTCCACTATCCTCTAGGCTGGATTGCAGTCTGTCCCACAGACTATCCTGTAAACTATCCCAGAGGCTAATGGTTGTCCTGATTTTTAAGTGTTGAGTTTTCTTTTATAGTTCTTTTGAAAGTTTTAAAGTTCTCATAAAATTTCTTCAGCTTTCTAATAATATTTACATGTTTCTACTGGAGTTCTCATGCACTGTTCATGTCAATAATGGTTGTTTTGCATTCCTCTTTGTGGGAGGAAAGAATTGATGGATTGTTGGTTTGACCAGTGTGGTTGGAGAGGTGGTAATTTCCAATCCACCATCACTTTTGGAATTCTATATATTGCAAGGTCAGAAATAAAATTGGTTCTTTTTCTCTCTTGAACTCACCAAGCTTCCATGCACTCATTTCGTGTCCAATAGTGACAGCTAATCCCTCAGATTACTCCACAGGTGATCCCCATGGCTATTTCTGAGCAACAGCTTCTCCCACTTCAACAGCCCTCCCACACCAACCCCACTGCTTCTGTACACCAGTCAGGACCTCTGTGACCACTATTCCATACCCTGCTCTGCTAAGCACTGCCTTAATCCTGCTTTGCTCAGTGACTTGATTGACCCAGCAGGTTCCTGAGGAAGATGGCCATGATGACAAAAATGCAGCCATTTGGAAAGAGACAACAAGAACAGTCTCTGTGGGGGATGCACATGGGACATTTGGGATTGTAGAGGACAATCTGAGCTCTCCCACTGTGATCACCCACTCCAGGAGTGGTCAGGCAACATCACTGGTGCATTTCAGGATTTGATCACACTTCACTGAGATATATAATGATCAGAGTGTCACACTGGTGAGAATCTACTTTTCAACATTTTTTGAAAAAAAAAATGTGACTGGCTTCTCCAGCCAGCAAAAGGCCAAGCTCTGAAATCCAGGTGATGGTCCTAGTCCTGCCTCTCCACTGTCCTTGTCCTATCTACTCTCCCTGTGTGTTTAAAATTGTGTTTGTTAAGCTCCAGCACACATCCCCTTCTCCCTAATTACATTAATACTTCTTGGAAAAACTGCTTTGCTGTAAAACTGCTGACTATTGCTCTTTTCAAGAACTTCATGTAGAAGTGAATCTTCAAAAGCTGAGCACTCAGGAATTACGACAAAAGCCTGATGGAATCGCAGGCTCAGTTCAAGCCCATGCCTGAAAGGAGAGGAAAGATAACATTCATCAAAGACAGTGTGCAGCTCCAGAGATCACTGCCTTGAGTTGGTTTAACCTTCCAGAGTCTCCTTATTTCAGTATACCCTGGGCAATGTGCAGCAAAAAATATTGGGAAGCATTATCCAATCCCAAAAAATCCTTCAAATCCAAGCAGTGCAGTGCCTGACAATGATTTTCCATCATTTGCCTTAGAGGAATGGTTTGCCCAGCTCAGGGCAGTACCAGGCTCTTGTGCTCCTGACCACATCAAGTGTTTCCCAGCTCTGCTTTGCCTCCCCTGTACACTTCCCTGTGTACACTCCAGCCCTGGAATGTGCCTTCTGGAGAGCTGCAGAGTCAAGCCTTGGGCACAGGGACCTGGCAGTGCCCCAGCCAGGTGTCACTCACCCCAGGGGTGCTCCCAAGGGGTGAAAAAGGCACTTCTGTCTCCCAGCCCTGGCGTCAGCCCCGTGTGGTGCTGTGGAGGCAGCTTTATTGGGGTTTCCAAGGAGTAACCAGAGGATGCTCAGATCCCACATTGCCCTGTGGAGGCACAGCTCAGCCAGGCTGGCTTTACATGGGCTGAGATCTCCCCCTGCTGCAAACCCTGCTCGGAGGGCGAGGGAGAAGCTTTAAGGATGAAAAGGGGCTGCTCAAGTCCCTCCATGCAGGCCTGGGGTGGGGTGGCACCATTCCTGTCCCCTCCCATCTGTGTCCTTCTCGATGTGCTGACACAACCCTCAGCCTCTCTCAAATCTGGTTTTCTTGCTGCAGTCAAGAAATTCAGTGCCCCTTGCAACCCGCTCTGTGCACATCCAGACCAGGGATCTTCAGAGGGATTGAAACCGGGTGAAAAGAGCCAGAAAACGTAAAACTTCCAGTGAAAGATTTCGTACTTTGAAAAAAGTTTGCCTAGAATTTAAAACAGAGAATAACATTTCTGTGAAATCAACTTTTTTCCATACCAGTTCCATATCTAAGCCTTCAAGTACTTTCTTTGCCTATTAATCCCTTCTGCTGCAGGTCTCTTGTGTCTGTCTGTCTCCGTGCCTCCACAGGGCCCTGACCTGCTGCTTTACCTCTCCATGCTCCAACCTGCCAAAATTCCAGATTGCTCCCACAGCTCCTCTTCTCCCTACTTCACTCCCTCTTTTCATCCTCTTTGGTGTTTTGCCATTTTTGCTTCTCGGTGTTTTTTCCCCACAGACCTGAAGTCGTGCAGGAATTAACTTTCTGGTTTATGCTGTTAACAGCCAAATGATGGCTGTGGCAGTGGGAGCTCCTCCATGCAGAGCACCACTGACCTTTCCAGCCCAGCTCTCCCTCCTCTCCATAAACCCACAAAAAGAACGTGGTGTGCTGCACATGGAAATTTTACCTCACCTCTTTGCACATTTCTTTTACATCCTGCCAGATTTCCACAGGCCCAGTCCTGGAAGTGATCATATTGAATGTTAATTAGAGAATGACTGATTATTAACATTGGGACCTTTATAGGATTTGTCTGAACACCCTGAAAGTGGTGTTTGGCCCCTCCCCACTCAGCAGCAGAGCTCTCCACCTCACCCCTGCCTCCAGCCCCGTTTTTGGGTCCTGTTGCTCACCCCAGCCCCATCCCCAGTCCACGCAGTACAGCCACACTCACTGTCATCCTGGTTTCCATGGCAAACCCCCAGGAATGTGGGCTGGAAGGGAGCTGTGACATCTGACGTGGCTGGTCCGGGGCACTGGGGTGCAGAAGCAGAGCTCTGTGGGCGGGAGATGTGGGATTACTCACCCAGGAACCAGCTTTGCTCTTCCATCCAGCAGCGTTGGCCACCGCCGTGATAATACTGCCTTCACTCTCTTTGCAGCTGGAGGGAAAATTCTGGTGCCTACCAGTAATTCTTGCTGTGTCTCAACACTCAGAGGCAGTTATAATAAGCTCAAATCTTGTGGAAGTGAGAACAGCCATCCCTGGTACCTCACAAATATCTGTGTGTGTTGTACTGGCTTGGAGAAGAGCAGACTCAAGCCATGGGCAATCCTTCCATTTTATAAAGCGCTTGTCCAACACAACATCTGACATTTCTTGGCTTTTCTCTTTTGTCTATTGAGGGAAAAAAAAAACACCTTTTCCTCCTGCTCTGTGTTAGCAGTTTTTTCATTGATCTGTTTTCTACAACACTTGCAATACCTGGCAGGTGCCAGACTGGTTTCCTGATGGTCTCCCAGTGGTGCAGACCTGCTGCCTTTCCCTGCTGGGTGTGGAGGGAGCTCACTCTCCACAAGAATTTCCTTGCACTGTAGCAGGGGCACCAGGTCCTTGGCACAGCCCACTCTCCATCCTGATTCC